GTACAAAGGGACCATCAGCTGGCACACAGGGACCATCAGTTGGTACAAAGGGACCATCAGCTGGTACAAAGGGACCATCAGCTGGTACACAGGGACCATCAGCTAGTACAATGGGACCATCAGAGGGTACACAGGGACCATCAGCTGGTACACGTGGACTATCAGCTAGTACAAAGGGCCCATCGGAGGGTACACAGGGCCCATCAGCTGGTACAAATGGACCATCAGCTAGTACAAAGGGACCTTCAGAGCGTACAAAGGAACCTTCAGAGGGTACAAAGGGACCATCAGCTGGCACACAGGGACCATCAGCTGGCACACAGGGACCATCAGTTGGTACAAAGGGACCATCAGCTGGTACACAGGGACCATCAGCTCGTACAATGGGACCATTAGAGGGTACACAGGGACCATCAGCTGGTACAAGTGGACCATCAGCTAGTACAAAGGGACCATCAGCTGGCACACAGGGACCATCAGAGGGTACACTTGGACCATCAGCTGGTACAAAGGGACCATCACCTGGCACACAGGGACCATCAGCTGGAACAAAGTGGCCATCAGCAGGCACACAGGGACCATCAGTTGCTACACAGGACCCATCAGAGGGTACACAGGGCCCATCAGAGGGTACACAGGGCCCATCAGAGGGTACAAATGGACCATCAGCTAGTACAAAGGGACCTTCAGAGGATACAAAGGGACCATCAGCTGGCACACAGGGACCATCAGAGGGTACACAGGGACCATCAGTTAGTACAAAGGGACCATCAGCTAGTACAAAGGAACCATCAGCTGGTACACAGGGACCATCAGCTAGTACAATGGGACCATCAGAGGGTACACAGGGACCATCAGCTAGTACAATGGGACCATCAGAGGGTACACAGGGACCATCAGCTGGTACAAAGGGACCATCAGCTGGAACAGAGGGACCATCAGTTGGTACACAAGGACCATCAGAGGTTACACAGGGACCATCAGCTGGTACAAATGGACCATCAGAGGGTACACAGGGACCATCAGCTAGTACAATGGGACCATCAGAGGGTACAAAGGGACCATCAGCTAGCACACAGGGACCATCAGTTGGTACACAGGGACCAACACATGGTACACTGGGGCCATCAGCTGGTACAAATGGACCATCAGCTGGTACAAAGACACCATCAGAGGGTACACAGGGACCATCAGCT